TAAATAATATAGAAGAAGATTTAAAAAAATTTATCCCAGAACTACAGTAAAAAAAAAAAATCAAAGCGCTTTATTTACCAGTAATCAGAACTTACCAGTGATTCCCATTCGTTTCTCCCATGGGTATTCAGGTGAGTGACCTAGTGGCCAAATGAGAATATATTATGTGGAGATGTTTAAACCCTTCTGCTGGAAGTATTTTACTTTGCATATGTAAGTAAAAGTCCATGGATCATGGACTGAAACTCACATCTCTTATTTTCTAGGCCAGAAGCTCTGGAATCATTATTACTTGTAAATTATTCTATAAAAAACACAACATTTTCAACAGCAATGTCTGAGGGAGGTCAAATTCTATAAATTTATTGGCAAGGACAGTAAATTAATGATAAATCACCACTCAAATCTCTGAACGAGGCATGAAGTAGATTAATAATTCAAGTGACTAGACCAAACATTTGAACTGCTTTACAAGAAGATTATGCTTTAAAAGTATCAAAGGCTTAAGGGTAAGTTGAAAGGTGAAATGACACTTTTCAATAGTTTTAAAAGGCATAATGTTGAAGCTTAGTTGCCTTACTCCTGTTTAAGCATTTAAATCCTGAAATATTATACCTCTGAAGCAGCCTTAGAAGAACCCTAACAATTTTATGTATGAGCAACACACCCAGACCACCTGAAATAACAAATAAGTAGGGAGGTTTTTTTCAAAGATTTGTTTGTGTTGGAATCCCATGAAACATGACCAGCACATCCACTACATTCAGGAGATTACACAAAATCTTACCAATTTTCAAAGCTATTCAGCTTAACCAATATGGGAGTGGAAATAGTTCCACGGTCAACATTTAGGCATTGACTTTACAAATAGTTCACTAAAAACTTCCACCTAAAAAACAAGAAAAAAAAAAAAAGAGGAAAAAGAAAAAACCAGCAGCAGCACCTGGATCTTAGAGTTTCTTCAAATTATAATGCCTGTAATTTCTTCTATTACTAGCAGATTAAATCAGTATGAAAATACTTTCCTTGCTAAATTCATTGGGCTCATATTACCCACTTCCCCTACACCAAGAATCTTAGTACAGTTGAACAGACTTACCCTCCCATTTTCTTTGCTGAGGAGTACAAGAATTTGGATATGAAACAGCACTAAGTTCTGGAAAGCCATTTGACCTTGAAGTACACACAAGGAAATAAGTAAGTTTTGTACAGTTTGTCAGCTGCAATAGCCTGGAACTTTATAAACAAGTGTTAGCCAAAAGCTTTCATGTTCAAGCCTGCATCAATGCAGCAGCTTTGGCACTTATCTTTATAAATATCACATTGTCCATACTCTACTGGTGAGGGTACTTCAAGCTTTTGTCATTCACACTTGGTTTGGGGAATTTTTGATACACCTCTGATAAACTGTGCATAGGGTGACACAGAAAAAAGTGCTGGATAAGCACAATAACTCCCTTGTTCAACACTGCATACATTTCTACGTCACGGGAAATAAATAAATGCAACGCAGGTACCATATTCTGCCCGTTCACAGCTGCAGCCTCAGTTGCCATCTGTCTTTCATCTTTGTTTCCTGCATCCTTGGCTGTTAACATCTGGGATGGAAAATGTTTTTGCAAATTTCACATGTCCTTTTATACATTTGTCAGTGCTTAACTCAGCGTTGCTGTGAGCTATGCTCAACTGGAACAGACATCCTAACAAACAGAGAGAGAAATCCCTGTCGGACAGGGGAAATAAAACCATGGGTGTTAGCCCTTTAAACTAGCACACTCGCTTAACAAGAACAACACAGGAATTCCTGGGACCCATCCTCTATAACTTGATCACAAATTTGTTAGCAAAGGCTGAAGTGTGGGTTGATATCGGTAGCTTTGAAGGGCTCTTTGAACTCAGACATCTCACTTTCCTCCTGGATACTGATAAATATTCTACATAGCTTTCACTAACTGTTAATTCAAGATGGATGCACATGTGTCAATGTAAAAGGGAAGCTGAAGAGTTGCTTCTTACCCTGATCAGCATCTTAACAAAAAGTACTTATACTTTATGGGTTTCATACCTGTGTACGATCATATACTGTGAGACTGTATAATAAAACTTGTAGGGGTTTTTTGGTTTTAGTCAGACTCAAGTTACTGAGAAAACATTCTAGCATCTATTAACATTTTGGCGTTGCTGGATTACTTATTAACAACTTGTTGCCTTAATCCCCAAACAAACCACCTTGCATTTTTTGAACAAATTACCTGTGAAAGTCAAAGACCCATCTTCCACAGAGCCTATACACAAAAGCACCTATTATGATATTTATCTAGCTGAGTTAACCACTTCTCATTGTTAAGTGTCAATAATACTGAAATAATTGCAGTTGACTTCAGTAAAAGAAACCAAAGTCTGAGTCCTTTGTAAAAATATCGTTATCATTGACATAATTGAATCCAACCTTGCATCTGGCCATAGCACGGTTCAACAGATTTTGATATTAAGAGCTTCAAATATCTCACTTTTCAAATCACCCACTCCGCCAGTTTTCTGTAAATTCAAATTTTCCTGTGAATTAAATATTTGCAATCCCTGCTTGAGTCACTAAATTAGACCAAGCAAATGTTTGAGTTAATATATTAAGCAGAAGTCTTGCAAAAATTTACTCTCCCTTAACTACAGTTTTAATTGCCTAATAGGTCATTATAAAATGAGTTACACATGTAAAAACATGGACAAAACATTATATATGAAATGAAGGCTACGCTAACTGAATAGGCTTTAGGTGCTAGGCCTCTAATCCAGGAAAGTATGACTGCTTTAGCCCTGCTTTATCAGTGATCTCCCTAACATATTTCAAGTTAATCAAGTGTTTATACGCTTTACTAGATCAGGGTGCTCAGATTTCCTATTCATTACTGAGTTTAAACAGCTTACGATGTTGCCCAGGGGACAGCAGTCTGGAACACTCACCTTTTGACCACAGCAATAAAGTGTGAAATCTTTCATATTTACTCACAAAAATTTTCCAGTGAAAGTGGTATCAGGACTATTGACCGCTCTTCAATCTGGTCTTCAAAAGGATAAATTAAGAAATTAATTTACAATTAAACATTACACTGGCAAGAACATTATTAGAATCTGATGCAATTACTGGGTTCAGGTGAAACCTTGGCCCCACACTAGAACCAGTAACAAAAACTTCCAACAGTGAAGCTGCACTGTGCTACATCAACCAGACTACTTCCTAAGAATGTAAGGCTGCCTGCAGTAACAGCGACCTCTTACTCATCATATGTTCTTCTATGACTTCTTTTGATCCGCTTTACTACTTGTAGACTTTCAGCCTTGAAGCATCTGTGTGAATATCCACCGTCAATTACTGGGAAGTCATGCTACTTTACAGAGCACCTACACAGCAATTTTCCAAACCAGTAAAAGCTCATAGAAGATGTAATCCTTCACAGTGAGGGTGAATGTGGCAGTCTGTTTATGACTGACAAATGGACAGGAGGAAAGGTTGTGAATCCTAGAAGGATGCAGCCAGGATTTTGAAGTGGTTTATGAATTCTTACAACCAGAAATTCTGCAAAAACAAGGGGATGAAAATAAGATGAGGCTGAGTCATATTATTTTAGCAACATAGACATCAGGATGCAAGATTTTGGATTGTTTCTAGTAAGTAATTTGAGATTCTGCAACTTGATCTACTGTGAAATTTCATGAGCAGAGAAATCCAGGAGAGAACTTTGTAAGAGAGTACAAAATGCTATTTAAGCTACCACAAAGTGTTAAGATTTTATCTTTCTAACATCTGAGAAAGAATGGTATAAATTAATTATTTGGCCCAAACAGCATGAAATTATAGCTTTCTGTAGCATACATTCTTAAATTATGCGACAAGGCGAGATCATTCTATTGTGTGGTTGAAATCCTGTTGGAAAAAATCCAAACAATATTTCTCTTTGTTGATCAGCAAAACCATTATGTTGATTGAATCAGAGCAAATATGTACACTCATGAGCTATCTTGCCTTAACCTTATTTGTAATTTAGTTAGAACAGAACTGCATTTACAGTGTTATAGATAAGCTACAGCAACAGCCTCATCTTAAAGTTGCTATTTTAGGGGTTGTAAATCCACTTAAAGTTGGTGGTCTCCGAACGAAACATTCTGATTCTGAAGACAGTATAAACCTTTCCACAGAAAATTTGGTGGAAGAAAAATAATGCTATCTTTGGTTGGCAGAAAAAAAAAAAAGAATAATTACTTTAGATATTTATTAGTATTTTCTAAAATCTCTAAACTGGAATTCCAGTGAGAATTCAGTTCGATTATTCTGTTTCAGGTCGATTATCCACTGTTGCATGGTCACTGCAGGCAAAGCTGCCCCCAACCTTCACATCCCTGACCAGTTCTCCCTTGTTTGTCCATATCAGGTCCAGCAAAGAGCCTCCCCTTGGCAGCTCCTGTACCAGCTGTGTCAGGGGAAAATTTCTGTGTCAAGAAATTATCAGTGCTCTCCAGAAACCCCCCTGACTGCTTGTGCCCTGAGGTGTTGCTCTCCCAGCAGATTTCAGGGTGGTTCAAGTAACCCTATAGACCAGGGGTTGCAAGCATAACACTTCTTCCAACTGCCTGAAGGAAGTCACACACTTCTTCCTGATCAGGCGCTCTGTAGCACATCACCCACCTTGGTCTCCCTTTTGAATCTTAACTCATTAGGTCTCAGCTGGCTAATCATTGATCCTTGGGCAAAACTTTATGAGTTCCTCCCGCTCTCTCCTCCTCTCTGCCCCAGCCTGTGCTTCCCAAAGAGCCTGCATCCATCCATGGCAGCACTCCAGCCATCTACACCTCTGCAATCCCAGTGTCATCACAGCCCTGCAACTGCACACAGGCCTTGAATTCCTTCTGCATTAAGTCAAGAATTGTTTTAAAGTCTGTTATAATTAGCACCTTTAAAATAACCCAGTAATACCGTTGCCCAAAAGAATAAATCACATACACAAAAGAGGAAAAGAAGAAACAAACCTGTGTGTTTTATTGAGGTACAGTCTCATTACAATTGACTAAATATGACTTTTTTTTTTCCCTTTTTTCTCTTTTACTAAAATGCAAAGTAAAAAACTAAAAATATAAAAAGCTCATTGGTCAGTTAGTTGTAAATACAAAACCTTTTCACAAAAATTTTAAAAAGTAGCATCCCGTTTTGGACATATAACTACATATACCTTCATATTTATGGCCCAGTTCACTCAAGATCATGTGAGTGGTTTTGTTTTCTGTACTAGAACTGCTTTCTGCACAAGGATCCAATACAAAGGTTGTTCTTGGGCTTATAAATTACCACAGGCGAAGACACATGTGACCTGCTAGATACAGGTCTCTTACTCTTCTTCATGGTAAGAACATTGTCTTCCTTTGGAGGAGGCACATGTACAGGTTTCCAAGGAATGGGGTTACAATATGCTGGAACTGGATACAAGCTTCCATCAGCACACCCTAAAACATTTAGAAAATACAGATAACTAAAAAGGAGTAACTACAAGCTTTACAATGCAAGCAGTTCTAATAATCATCCAGAACAACAGTGTTATCAGAGGCATAGATGGCAGGGGCACATCACATAATTTAAATGTTTCAAAGTAATAAGACTTCCACTTCCCCCCCCCCCCCTTTTTCATCTTTGTTTAAAATAATAAGCAGGTCGAATGCTGTGTATCATTCAGAATGCTCAAGTGCGTTGTATACTTAAAAGCTGTTAAATGTCTATGAAGTGGCTACTTTGCATTATTTCAAAGCATAAAACTTCCTGTCACCACGCATGCAAAGCTCACATATTCTTTCCATTTTTGCTTGTTACTCATTTTATTGAGGAGAAAAATACACTAGTTATCCACATATCCACTAATAACCTAATTAATAATCTAAGGCCCATAAAGCAGTATCAGAAAACCTAAAATGTAACAGGAGGAACATGTTGCCCTATCAGTCATCTGGCTGTAGTGAAATTTCAGTGCATACATCCCATAGATGGGTGAAACAACATCTGTAATACATTGTACTGAACGAACACAAGCAAGTACAGAAATATTTTTCACAAATCACTTAAACAAGTGATTGCAGCTGTAGGGAAGTAATGAAGTTCCAAAACAAAACATGAAGGCAAAGTGTATCACCATCTTTTGCAACAGACATAAGCAAAAGGTTGTTCACTTGCTTTGTACATTTTCTTAAACAGTCAGAGCCTGGAATATAGGTCCTAAAATATTTTCTGTTGTGAATTCAAATAATAACAATTATTTTAATTCTATGAAAAAATAAAGGCAAAAGTATATATTTTTTAAAAGAAAATTTAATTAAATACTCAAGCATATAATGTAATACTATTTGTTAAAGCTCTTCTGCTTTTGTACCTTGTGGGATGACAAAAAATACAAAAACAAAGCACCGCACTATCAACAGCATTCTCTTTAAAATAAAAAAGGAATAGAATTAGAGAACCCAAGAAGGTGCAGTGCAGGTATGAAGCTAAACAGAAATCTTAGCTCAGAACACAGGTTGATTCCCACAACTCCTTTTTCAGACACAACTTCTGTCAGCCTCCTATTAATCTTTGCCTCTCAAAACTCCATCTCTTTTCTAAGGGGGATTCAGGTGCCGTAAGGTGGCACACACCTTCTGTAACACAAACACGAACTTTACAGGGATGCTAACGTAACCCATTTGCTTCATAGGAACCAGTAATGGGTGCCAGTGATTCCTATGCCTGATAAGGAAAATGAGATCAAAATCAGTTATTATTTGGTATGCCACATTATTCTCTCAAATTATATCGTTTTCCTCCCAAATAACATGAGGGTCTACAAAAAATGCACAAAGGGTCTCAGAGTAACAGCTTCTCTGACTTATACCATATGAGATATTCATTCCCGTGTGCCAAAATTAGCTACTGGATTAAAATCTTTAACAGGCCTCATTTTACATTAAAAGATTAGCGGGAAGGAACCACAGAGCTAAGTCACTACCTATGTGTAGTAGAAGTACAAACCTGTAGACTTCCCACGTGGAAAGCCATAACCGTTTAAAACAGGACGTGGTTTATTTCTAGCATCATGGAGCCATTCCTTAAAGATCTTCTCTGCTCTTTCTTTCTTCTCCTGTAGCTCAGCTTCCCTTTCTTTTTCTTTTTCCTAAAAATAATTTTAAAAAATAATTTAAGAAACTGATACACAAAGCCCTGTACAATATACATCATAAAATGGCAAATAAATCTTTTGCAGATTCCTGGACTGCTGAATATATTTCAAATAGGTTTTCAAACACAAATATGCTTTCCTGACAATAGAAAAGGTGATTTTTTTTTTTTCCTTTAAGTCTGGGGGGGGGGGAAATAAAATAATAAAAAAAATCAACCTCCACATTAATTCAGTATTTATCTGAGAAAAACTCTCCAAAACCTTTTGGAAGACTACATGTAGAAGATACTCTGAATATAATGAGCAGATGAGCAAGGCCCACTGTGCTGCAGTTAGCCTAAGGAGGCTGCATCTGGGACAGCCACCCCCTCTTCTCATATACCCCTATTCATACACCTGTATCAGCAAATGACTGGCTTGCTTCCAAGCCTGGAGCAGGCTTAGGGAACCATCAATCAGAAGTAAGAGTAAAAACAGTGTGTTTAGGCACGGCATTTGGATTTAAACTAAGTTTAATTGATACTGTGAACGTGGCTTGTAAGAACGGACGTAATGAAGGCATAACTAAAAGAATGCACGTGGTTTAAATCTGTCTGATGACTTCTGTCTTCTTGGGTTTCAATGTCTTTGTGCTGTGCATTTTGGAGGCTCGGCAGAGACACCGAATCAGTTTGTTAAACAGGAAATCAACATCATCAGTACGGAATATTTAAGCATGTTTTAATTAAATGGCAAATTTTGAAAGACTGCAAAATTAAGGTCATTAAGGCCTGAAAATTGATCTGATAGAGCTGACGGTATTTTCAAGTTAATCCAAATAAATTATTATATGTACTTGTGAAATACTTACAAATGTGTTCTGCACTTGAAGAACAACTGCTGTAATTACAAGGGGAATATACGTAAACTCTTCTCACCACAATCCTCTCATACACTTAGCTACAATGGTAGTGTAGCACTAGAATATGTCATATTCTACTGAAAAATTATACTGTAATGTTAATTACATTAAAATAAAACCAATCAACTTCACAGATAGGACATCTGGTCACATATTTCATCGTTTTCAGGCATAATCATTACCAATATGTGATAGTTCACAGCAATTCAGGATGAGTCCTGAAAGCATTTGTTCTAGTGAACTAGAGGACCTCAAAGCCCGTACTTTAGGGAGCTTAAAACAAGTAAGAGGTGTTCTGAAACTCACTATAAAAATATATAGGTGATTAATTAATATGAAATAACATTAAAATTAGAACTCTCAGCATCAGATTGGTACAGAGAGATATGAAAAAAAATGCTTTTAACTAGAAATATGTGCAACTATAATGGTAATAGTGGTGCTGGGAGAAAAATGCCCATTTTCTGTCTGGGTCACCCTGCAACAGACTGAGTAATAAAGGTACACTGTGTGGTTGGCATTTTTCTTTCCCTTATCATATCACACTCGCAGTGGGTTTGCAAAGACTATTAACAAAAATGCATTAATATGCACCTTGCTTTGCTGACCACACCTCACTGTCTTCAGTTCACTAACACTGCAACTTTTGAAAGTTTTCTTTATGTACAACACTGCCATTCGATAAATTCTAACCAATTCAATAAATCAATACATTTATTATAAATTACAGATTAGGCAACGCCATCCAAATAAATGGGTAGTTGATTAGTACCTTCTCTTTCTTCTTTTTTTCTGCCTCTTCAGCTCTCTTCTTCTTTAACCATTCTTTATACTTTACTTCGGCCTTTTCTTGTAACTGCATTTTTTCTAGTTCCTTTGTGGCTTTTTCTGACATTTCTTTGCTCAGCTTTCGTTCCCTTTCCCTTCTTTCCTGCATGAAACAGACCAAAGAAACAAAATAGAAACTTTTCAGTATATTTCAACGGGCAATTCTTTTGAGGGATACAGTTAATTTTATTACATAATTACAAATAAAATTATCGTAACCCTGAAAAAAATATCATATTGCAAGCTCTTTGAAGACAAAACCTATTCATCACTAGGTTCCAGATAAAATAGGTTTAAACATATAAACTTCTCAGAAAACATGATAAAAATTACTTTCAGCACTCCTTATGCTCTTATGTTTAATACTCTGTTTTATTTATTCACTCCTGTTTTTAAAACAGTTCAGACACTTCTCAATTTCTGGGAAAGAAATATATGTTGTAATTCTTGACAATGGTGTGTGTGTTTTCAGTGAATCTAGAGCAAACTACAATTCCAAATGGAAGTCAGGCAAACCGCCCCCTTCTAACAGTCATGGAGATAGATATGCAGATTGTTCACCACACTTAAGCATAAACTGATGCGAAAACAAGAAGTTCACATGAGAATCCAGTTCATGTTTTGTGGCATTCTCTACAGTTTTTATATTCTTGACTTTATTTGTATACAGACTTCTATGAATCAATCTACACATCTCTTCAAATAAAGGGAAAATGAGAAAGCACGTTCTAAAGTAGGCAAAAAGTGGTAATTGAGTGTGAAGTGAAATTGCCACCTGCATAATTTGGAAGATAGAATACTCCGAGGTGTCATTCACTGCTACGTCTTTTCAGTGTGTATGAATTTAACGGTACACTGCAAAGTTCAGGGGACCATTCTCTAACAAGCACATAGTGACAGCTTCTTGATCTGGAGAGGGAGGTATTTTCATCCGAAGACTAACAATAGCTTTCACTTCCCTCTTCTGCAACCTTTATGAAATGCCTGATTCTACTGATTCAGTACTACCTCTCATCAGCTTGCTTAGCTCAGAAGAACCTGCATACACACACATAGAGGCAAAAATCCTTACCAGACAAGCAGTGCACATGACCTGGAGGAGAGGCAGAAGACTTGAAATCAGTTTCCACTTCATAGAAAAGAACTGCTAAATAAAAACGTTGGGTTTCTTTTTAAGAAGTCTTTTTCTTGTATGCTCCCCTCTATACTCCTCTTGAACAAAGGAGATGTGTAGTTTAGCAGAAACTTAATGCTAACTCAGAATTATTATAGTAGGCAATATGGATGTCAAATGCCTAGAACCGCAACTGCAAAGTACAATAAACTGGGTTTAACATGTCTTCTTCGTGGAAAAGAGGAAAAACACATTTACAAGAAGAGCAGGAATCGACGTCCCTTCCCATTTTACCTTTTATAAGCACAAAGTGGCAGAAAGCTAGAGCTCCACCCTGCTCCCCCTGTGGGCCCCTCTCACACCTTTCTTCCAGATTTATTGCACTTTTGGAAAATCCAGTTATACATAAAGAAGAAGCCATAATACTGGAGCTGGGAACCAGCACAATTCTCTCTGTATGCTGTAAACAGACTATCTGATGGTTCAACCTTCATCCTCCGTACCAAAATTTACTGGTAATTCAATAGTAGCATCATACAGAATAAAAACTTTACTTGATATTGCCCTGCAAAACACTAACTAATTTTTGCCATTTATTGGATATGATGATGAGGTGCAAAAACAGGGCCAAGAAAGAGAAAATCGCTTTCAGGTTAAAACATTTGCCAACTTTTCGTACCAGACATAGTGCTAGATAATAAACACTTTCATGTTTGAATCCTTATTCACACTACATGCAATTGTCTTCATAAAGAAATCATTTTGTAAGCACAGACTTAGCTTACTCTGGCATTCACTTTTTGAGCATGTCATAATGCTAAACTGCAGACTTCTTATCAGAAGCAGCCAGTTTACAGATTTGCTTGAGTTAACGTGCTCCTCTCTCTGTGTTTGCCAGCACTAGAAGCATTACTGCAATTTTAACATCAGCAGGTAAATTATGCATTAACTCTGGGGCTTCTTCCCCTCTTTTACAAGCTATGTCTTATTAACTATAATTACCATAATCCCCGAGTTAGATGTTTCTTCACCTAAACCATGATGATACTTTCAGTACCCCCATTTTGGTGTACTCTTGTCAAATATTCTAATCTGATGTCAAAGAGTTATTTATGTACGTACTGCACACAATTTCACAAAACAGTTATTAACTGTATTTTCTCTTTTTTTTTAAATTTCACTTCTAATACATTCTAGCAAACATCAGCTGAATCTGTTCTGCAGTATAGGGAAATGGTCGGATAAGAAAACACTCCAATTTCAATGCATAGTCTTGAACGTAGAACACCACAGAACTATAAAATAATGGAAGTTTTATTAATATGATTTCGCAACACTGTAAGACCTGTAAATGCGATAAAATTATTATTTACAACTAAGACCAATTAAAAAAACCCACCAAATAACAAACTGTCTAAGATTTTCCTCCTTCATCTAAAATTCACCTTAATCTCTTTTATTCAGAGCTGTTCTTCTGTACCTTCATTACCAAATATTCTCCACATGCAACTCTTAACAACTCCTGTTTTGAAACCGTGATAATCTGGGACACATAAAAAGCATTAATGTAGATAAGAATGCTAAAACAGTGAGTTAAAACCACTGGTGAAGGAACATCTTTTGTTGTCTGCTTGCTTATTTCTATTGTACATGAAAGTAAGTTACAAAACTAGGGATCTTTGAAAGCTACAGTCTTTACCTAGGGGTCTTATCATATAAAAAGCATGAGAATAAATGTAGGAGAAAATGGAAAAAAAATGAGGCCTTTTGATGCCTAGGGGAATTCTTCAATAATGAACAATAATTATAAGCGGAAAATAAACTAAAAACTCTCTAAATACTGTAATTAAAATGCAGGGAAGCTTCTTAAATTATGTCGCTTTAATCACAACACTTCAAATGAGTTTAGCCACTATCTAGGCTGACCCAAAGTTAAATTAGGTCCTATGTAAACAGTGAGACATGGTGCACGCTACCATGAAAGCCCCAACTATTGCTAAGTTTTACTTCCAGTGAGACATCCTTAAGACGGGGAGACTCCCTCCAGAATTGCAGACTTTGCAGCTGCCTAGAAATTATTCTGCAGACAAATCAGAAACGCTTCCTCTTTCCTTCATGCCCGGAACAGCTTTTCATTCATAAAGTCAGTGCACACCACATTCCCAGCTGCTTTAATAACCTGTTTCATGTCAAGCTCCTGTCACCCTGGCCTTCCTAGCTTCCCCCATTAGCCTCATTACTTTCCTTACTATCAAAAATGCTAAGAATGTGCATATTAATGTACATGTTCTTCAATCCTCCACTCTTCTTCCACACATATAGGGGGAGGGAAATTATGTAATTTGTTTATGCCTGGTGGTGTCAGATTGGGTTTTAAAAATTCTCTTTGATCTTGTGTTCAAAACAGGCACGATCTATTCACTAAACCACTAGCAAATTTACATGCACTTTAAAATGCGATTACAGGTATTACATAAATTAAGGTATTGATTGTAAAACATCCAATTACTCATTGCAAGAAAGGCTTGTTCTCCTGCCACCCCACCCAAGCACAATATTAAGGAGAAAAAGGGATACAAATCTGACCTGCGGGTTCACTGCTCTGGGCTGTGATCCTATCAAGCCTCGGAACCTAATGAAGCCTGGGCTAGGTCAGTACTTGGAAATCCCCCACCCAAAACAAATCCAGCTGTCCCACAAAGCAGTGATGGTGACTCAGTAGGGCAGCATGTGTCTCACCGAGTCAGTACCAAACCAATGTCTCATCAGCAGAACTACTAATTTTTCAAGAAAAATCAGACCTATGTATACACGGAGAATCGTCAAAGGAATTTAAAATTTGAAGAAGCATCTCACTTTCTTCCTGACAGGAGGCAGAAATATTGAATAATTTTCCAGGCAGAAAAAAAGCCCAACTGCCATTGAAACAGAGACATCCAGTTGGAAGAAAACTAATAAAATATATATTTGTGTATTTTCATATCAGTGATTAAGTGAGAGGCTGGAAAGGGTAAAGTGCAGAGCTACTTTCTGTTCTGCATTTGCTATGTTGATTGTCACTGAACAGAAATATTTCCATAAATTAATGTTGTGTTTATATTTTTTAAGGTAATTCTTACAGCAATTCTTTCTTATTTTCTAGTCAGCAGAACGTGACAATAGTTTTCTTTTCATAGATAACTGATGATTCTATTTCACAGCTGTGAAATCTTTGCTCGGACATCTTAGCTACCATATTCTAGCATCATTATATGTTGACTGAGGGCAAAATATCGGAAAAGTCCACACTGCCAAGTTAAGAACATACATCTGAATTTCCTGATTCATCCTCATAATAATCCTGAACGTCAATCACATTTAGCAGCCTCAGAGATCTGGGTTGTTTGGCCAAGTGTTATTATCTTTTCAATTTAGCCCTATTACACAGCTCAGCCACCAAGCCTACCCCACAGAAATACTTCTTTAATCTCTCCAGAATTGGCATGTGAAAACAATAAGAGGCTAGAAAGGAGGCCAATGAAACAACACAGAGCTGCAGTTATCTAATGACAGACAGGTCGACAACAATTTACTGCTCAAGTTCAGACAAAGTCAATGAAAAATCCACTGCAGTCAAGTACTTGGAGAATTGTAAAATGGTTACATACATGGATCTCTCTCCCAAACTGTGTTTCTTTTCTGTGGGTATCCAATATATGTGAGAAAGCATTATGTCTTTGTGTACTTGGACTCTGAACACTCTTGGGGTCTTCAGAAAAGGCAGACTTCACAAATGCTGCCAAAATACATGAGGACTCACACTTTAATCGTCTGCCACACTGAATTCCTCTTCCACTCTAAAATTCAAACACTAACCATGAGAAATTAGCTTACTCTATTTACAGAAATCTAAAGTTTGGATACAATTAAGATTCAGGTGCATAGTAAAATTATACCTATGGCACTGGCCATGCACGACCTCACAGAAAATTTTGTGTAGAGACACATCA